TGGCCACGATCAGTTGTTATACCTGATCGGGTACACCGACACACCCGATCGGGTATACCTTTAATTGTAACTCTGAAATCGATCGAGTATACCTCGGATCTGAGTTTTTACACATACTCGGTCGGGTACCGTGTATATACCCGATCGGCTACCCGGGCTGCATCTCCAAAAGCCTATAAATACACCTCCATTCGTTCACAACTATTCACAAATTCTTATACACTTCTAAGCTCAGTCTAGATAAGTTCTTTCTTTATATTTTCATTATTTTTAGTCTCCAAATGAGGAGCTAAACTTTTCCATCTTGGTTTTGCTACTTTGAAGCTTAATGAATTGTAAGTCGTGAGTTATTTTCTTTAATCTTCTTCCTTGAATATTAATTAATTCCTATTCATATTTCATATTAATATTTTGAGCATTACTTAAAGGATCAACTAGTTTTGTTTCATATATTAATTATTACTAGAATCGATCGACGAATACGCTTGTTAATCGTTCGGTCGTTACACGGTAGTAAACTTGGGTTATTAATGCATGTGTCTCATGGTTAATAAACCAAGGGGAATTAATTATGTTGATTAAACCAATAAACCGCTTGTGTTGAGGTTATCAATCTCAATCGTTTTCATCTTGATTTTATTGTTATTATCGGGTTGATATATGTCATGTGTTCTATATTGACTCGATAGTAAGTTTTATTAATGAACATGTCTCGTTATTAATAACTACCCTCGATGAATTAGATATACTCCTCGATTGAGTATTCGAGAGGAAGATAGTTAAAGATATAACCGGGATCGACGATCATTTCATTAAGTGGATAAAAGCAAAGTCAAGTCTTCATCTCTATTAAGTAAACCACATAAGTTAGTCGTTCATCTTAGTGTTTAAATATAATTAAAGTTTACCAAACAAACTTAAAACCCCCCTTTGTTACTAGTTCTATAAAAAGAGAAATATTCATTTCCCTGCTGATACGAACCTTACTACGCTATACTACGTATAAATGTTATATTGTATTATTATTTTGAGTGCACACCACGAAAAAGTGCACGTTAGTAAGGCTATTCAAATACCTGTAATCCACATACATTCTTCAAGTGCCATCCTTCTTTTTAACTAACAACACTGGTGAAGAGAAAGGGCTCTTGCTAGGCCGTATTTCTCCACTTCTTAAAAGCTCTGCAACTATTTTTTCTATTTCATCTTTCTGACCATGTGAAGCTCTGTAGGGATACTTTTGTTTAGGGATACTTCCTGGTTTTAATAATATCTGATGCTCCACTCCTCGAGTTGGTGGCAGGGACTTTGGTTCTTCAAAGACATCATTAAACTCATGGGTAAGCCCATTAACTCTGTTGGTTCCCTGGAGTTGGGTTCTTTCCATTTAATCCAGAACACCTCTTCTACTGGACTGGGAGATTCTTCATAAATCATTTTATAGAGACTATGATAGGAAATAATCTTGCACTTCTCTTCACACTAGATGAGAATTTAACCCCCCTGCATAGTAACTGTAACCAACATTTTGTTGTAATCCAGTTCCATAGGGTTCAGTGCCCTCAGCTAGTCTCCCCCTAATATCAAATCAAATCCAGTGGTGGGTAGGACTCTGAAATAATGCTTGAATTGTTGTTGTTGCATTTCCCATTTAAAGTGTGTTATCTTTGATGTACTTCTGATTTTGGTTCCATTTGCCACTATAACGTGTACATGTTTCATAGGTTCTGCAATACATCCCAGCTCTTGAATAGCCTTGGTGCTGATAAAACTGGTGGAAGCCCCTGAGTCAATCAGAACGTGAACCATGTGTTTTCCAGCCTTCCCCCAAAGTTCCATAGTGGTGGGTCCCCTCTTTCCTTGTGTATTACTACAAATCACCAACATCACTTCCTCCTCCTCCTCCTCCTCCTCAGTTTCTTCAATTTTGCTACCAGGAGGCTCATTTTCCTCCTCAACTTTATTAGAGCCCATGCTCGTGGTTGTCCCCCATCCAATTTTGGAAATTCTATTTTTGGGTAAGGGGTATGTAGGTGTTGATGAACTGATGTATCATGTTGCTTACCAATCTGTGATATAGGTTCCTTATGCAGGTGTGTAAATGGAGGTGGACCCAGGATTGAATCTATATGATTAGAAGGAGCGCCCACAAAATGATGCCTCAGCTCCCTCAGCTCCCGATCAGTTTGATCCTCAATGCTATCAAGCCTTTGCTCTATTTGTTTGAGTTGTTTCAGAATTTCCATCTGAATCTCCTGTTGTTGTTGTAGCTCGTTGTTTTTATGATCTGCATCATCTCTCTTTAACATTTCTGCCATGAAGGATTCCTCAAGTTTCTTCTGCCCATCAAGACATTCCTTTAAGCGAGTTCCTTCAACCATCTTCCCGGATTGCGCTGGAGCTCTGATACCAAATGTCGTGTTTTGATCAGATTTGAGGTGTTGAGAGGGAGGAAAGTTATGAGAAAATCAGAAAAGGGAGAACGGAAAAGGAATGAGTGAAGGAATCATGTTGATAATCCTTGATATTCTCATTGTAACAAACATATTTGTAATGGATAAGGAGTAGGGACCTCCTTCTAACAACCCCAATAATTTGAATATTAAAATATAGGATTTAATTTTAGCCAATAATTTTACTCCTCTTTCTTAATACGGCCAAATAGAGATAAAATTCTAAATGGATAACTCCAGTCCTTTAGACTCCCAATTCATGCAAGCCATTTCAATGTGTACTTAATTAGTTATTTATAACACATTTAATATTGCTATATAGTGATGGAATACCTTTATTTAATAAGTTAGTTTTGTACTATTTCAACTCTTACTTTTAAATAAACGTGGTACGAAGTATGTAGTATACAAAAACTATTTATCATATGTTAGTACGTAAAAGATAAGTCAAAGTTGTAGAAAATTGTAAATTGGGAAAGAATTTAGTAGAATGGAGAATAATGGTATGGTTTTGAGTGCCAAATCATCTAGTTCCAAAAGGTTGAATCGCCAACCCCAAGCGCCCCCCACGCCCCGACCCGACAGAGCACATGGGAGGATGTAAGTCACGGTGACTCAGTCAGCAGAGTGGCAGTAGGCCTTTTACCCCGTGCGCACCAGAGGCCCAACCTTATTTCAGGTTCTGTGACCTCCACCCGGTCGCTGCGGGGATTCGAACCTTGGTCATAGTTCCAATTTTCCCACCACTCAACCAGTTGAGCTACCCGTGCGGGTAAGTGCCAAATCATCTAAAGGGATAGAATCAGGTCACATGTTTGCTTTGGGCTACGGATCTCCAAATGTCCACTTTGTTCAAATTAATTTAGAGAAAAGTGTTGATTAAGTACATGAACTTGCTTAAAAGGGAGTAAAGAGTACATCAGTTATGAATAGAAATCTAGAAGTACTTGATCTTGGTTACCTGGTGTCGGTTTGGTACTTCCGTCATATTGACGTTAAAAAAAAATTACGTGGCAAAAACTATCCGTTTTTACAACGTTCGGATTCCAGGTCATCCCCACCACTTATTCTATATATCTAACCCTAGTTTAGGCCTCTTCACTGCGTATCTCATTCTTTATCAGCAACACACATCTCTTTTTCTCCATTCTTCTTCCTGAGCTCCTCATCAATTAATGTTGTTACTTTCTTTTCTCTCATGAGTTGATTTCTTCCTCTCGTTCCACCTATTTTCTTATTTGCCTCTTTGGTATATGTTTCAGCATCACACATGGATTATGGGTATTGTTCTTGTGGAATTCCCTTGAAGATGGTGATTTCATGGACGGATGATAACCCGGGAAGGCGGTTCATAACATGTTCAAGATTGAAGGTTTGCTCATCCAGATTCTCTTCATTTGATGTCTCCATTTTTTTAAAATATAAAAGCTAGATTTCTGTTAATTAGTCATTATTTGAAATGATTTTTCATGATAAGCATATGTGTATCTCTTTTCAGGCCTTAGGTGGATGTAATGCATTTCAATGGATTGATCCAGAAATGTGTTTGCGGTCCAAGACTATAATACCAGGTCTGCTGAGGAAGATAAACATACAACAAGTTGAGCTTAATGAAAGGAACCAAAGGAGAAAAACTAAGAGGACATGGTGTATGCTATGGAGTGTTATAGGACTAATGGTGCTACTGGTGTTGTTTATGATTTTTATTGACCATGAAAACAATAAGAGTTTAAATGTGCAAATGTGTATGGCTCCAGTGGTCTGATTTTGTATGTCATAATGCTATAAAAGAGATGTAATATTTTGTCTTAGTGTGTGTTCTTATATATTAATTTACTAGTAGGTATTAGTGTAAGGTAAGACCTATGTACACAGTACACTATGTACTTGTTATGTGTATGTTCTTGTACTCCTTATTAGTTAAAGAATAAACCTGATGCAAGTTTGACAGAATGAGCAAGAGAACTATTTCTAAGTTCTGTTCTTTTATAACATTATAAAGGGAAGTTGCAGTTATCATTAATCAATGAGCCTATGTATTGTTTGTAGTAGATGCAAGGCATTGAAGTATTAGCCTGGCATGTAGTACATGCAGCCACAAGTAATGTAATGGACAGCTGCAGCTGTACCCGTCCTTAGATGGACAGCTGCAAAATCTTAATAAAAATTCAACTAATACACTTTACACGTCCTTAGTTTTAATACACTTTAATATATGTTTTTTGAATGGAAAGTTGTCCATTACATCCTTAGTTTTAATGGAAAGCTGCATCTTTTTTTGTTGAAAAGGTTCTGCAATTTTACACATCTTTATTAAAACATAAAAGATGAAAACTTCCCTGCACCATTATTCCAATAGTGCAAAGGAGTGCTGCAGTTTTTAACATGCTATGAAGCCTGAACTAGTATGCAGTTATGCACTGAAACAATATTTTTTTTGCACTAAAACATAATTCACAGAATAATAAGAATCCCTTGCACGGCTGCACCTACATACACAATAATAATGCACAGAATACTTAGAATCTCATGCAGCTACACTCATAACAAAACTGAATTGACAAAGCCCAACATATTGAGAATAATGTTAATAATGTATTGACAACAAAACATATTGAACAAAACCAGATGCTATATATGCATCATCAGTATCATCTGTGGCTTCTGTCAACCCCAAAAAACATCATTTGAACAAAACCAGATGCTATATATGCATCATCAGTATCTACGGCTTCTGTAAAGCCCAAAAAAACATCATTTGTAGATTACAAAACACAATTCTACACTACTACTGATTAGGGTCAATGACTTGGGAAACATTTTGTGCAACATCTTCCATGGAATCAAATAGAAGGTGGAATCTTTGTCTTGCTGCAGTGGCATTTCCAGTAACTTCCATTTCTTCAGCATGCCTTTTTTTATAATTCCTTGCAGCTTGAGTAATCTCCTTTTGATTCATTGATTTTAACCTCTGTCAAATAAAACATAAACATTGTACGTTACAAGTCAAAATACATACATAAACATAGTATACCTTCAAATTCATTTAGAGAATGTATTACAACACATCCTTCAATGCCACAAAAGTAGAAATAGTGGACACAAAATTATCAGAATCATATTACCTCCAAACCAGTCGCGGTCATACAATTGTTACCTCTCCACTGAAACACGCCATCATTAGTTGCCTTACTCATTTCTTGATTGTCCATAAAATATGCTTCCAAAGTATTATTACTATGATCTGGTGCTTCTTCTGGAGTATCAAACATAGCATCGCTTTCCTATTAAACAATCATATTATGCAATATGAATGACAAATGTTAGACTAAATTTTCAATGTTCAGTTTCAAGGTAATAAAGCACATGCATTTGTTAAAATTTATTGACCTGATCTAAATGCTTCCTTGGACATGTCTTTCTTGTGTGTCCTGTTTGAGAGCAAAGTCCACATTTCCTAGGAATTCTCTGTTTAGAAACTTCTGAGTCTAACGTGCAAGACTGTTGGATGTTATGTTCTGGAAGACCCTCATTAAAATTATCCTGATTTTGTATTGGGAAAGAAGTATGTCCTTGCATTATTATCTCCTTTGATGGACAACCCTTTTTATTGTGACCTTTTCTAAAGCACAATTGACAAGTGATACTTGTACCTCTTTTGGTTAACTTCCCACTCCTGGGAAACTCACCAAGCTCTTTAATTCTGTTTTTCCTAGGTCTGCCAAGTTCTTTTTTTCTCAACTCTGCTGGCAGTACAATGACATTAGTTTTGGGCCAGAAAATAGGACCTGCTATGGGAGTCATCATGTGAGCATAGGCCTTGCCGTACATGTCTTTTTTGTACCAACTGGAGACATAATCTTCTATTCTATGACCTTTATCCCTAATTGCACAGATGGCATGTTTACATGGAATTCCAGACACATCCCATTGTTCACATAAACAACTTCTATTGGTCAAGTCGACTAGATACGTGTCTGACCCAAATGATACCTCATATCCTTTCGATCCATTAAATTGCACCCTCCACTTATAGCTTGCTATAACATTTTTACTTATCCTTCTCCTAATCCTGGGACCTAAATCTCCAACCCATTTATCTCCTAAATCCCTGTTCTTTATAAGTCTCTTCATCACCAACTTCCTAACAAACTCAAGCTGAGAATACCCCAATAGAGACCTAGCGGGTACTATAACTCCATTAAAAGCCTCACACAAATTATTGTCTACCGTCTCACATTTGATAGACCTATCAAAGAAAGCTCGAGACCAAAATTTTGGATCTATTTTCAGAATATCTTCATGGGCACTAGGAGATAGGGATTTCAATACCTCCATTTCTATTTCAAATTCTCTCTTTGATGCTGATTTACAACATTTCCAAAACTGCCTCTGCAATTCAAGACTTGGATGTGATCTTCTCCAGATTGCATAGATGTGTCTTGCACATCTTCTATGTTCAACTTCTGGCATAGTCTCATATAGTGCTGGCATTAATCCCTACAATTTTTTTTCAAAATTGAAGTTAGAATTCAACTTATAGAATAAAGCAGATTAATAAATAAAGATATACGACACACCTTCTGTTGATCAGATACAAATGCCCACCCTTTCCCTCTTCCAATGCCTAGATCATCTCTTAGGATCTCAAGAAACCATTTCCAAGCTTCCTTTGTTTCAGATCCCACAATTGCCCATCCAATTGGGAACATCTGGTTATTCCCATCTCTTCCTATAGCGGTTAAGATTTCTCCTTTTACACCAGACTTCAAAAAGGCACCGTCTATCCCAATCAACCTTCTACAACCCTCTATGAACCCCTTCTTGCACGCATCATATGACACGTAGAATCTATCAAATATTGGGCTTGGTTGTTTCACCTGGAGGATACATGTATTTCCATGGTTTGACCTTAAAATCTCTGCCTTATAATCCTCTAACCTTTTGTACTCTTCTTTTATATCTCCCTTTTCCATCATTTTTATTATTGACTTTGCCTTCTTCATCTGCTCCAAAGAGACATCACAGCTGAGTTCATTTTTTACCATCTCTTGCATTGAAGACAGTTTCATTTCACATACACCAACCTTAGATTTGAAGAAGTTATTAACCAACCATTTTGCAGTTGCACTAGGTATTTGCCACCCTGGATTACATGTATGCCGAGGATGAAAAGTCTTTAACACCCATTTCTTACTACTGCTTCGGCTCTCTATGCCAAAATATGCCATCCATGTGCACGTTTTATTTAGGTTAGCACACTTAGCTCTAAGCATGTCAGAAGAGTTCTTGGCCCAATAATAGGGATATCTATTACTTACTGAATATTTATCAACTGCCTCTTTAACCTGAGATTTAGACTCAAAGCTCATTGCCAATGTAAATTCCACCTTGTCATTTGGCCTAAAAGGAGGAAATTTAGTTTTGTTTCGGAGAGAGTTTTCTTCCTCTACATCTGAACACGCTTTGTAACTACCTTCATCACTTGAGCTAAAGTATTCTGTTTCACTTCCATCACGTGCCAGAGACACCTCATCCTCATGATCAACAGAGTTTTCTTTGTCTTTTTTTCCCCGCTTACTTTTGCCAACACTTTTATCATTAGTCACTAACTTTCTTAACAAAATCCTGCCCTCTTGCAACTCCTCATCATCTTCATTCTCGGAGTTCATTTCTTCTTCAAATAATAGGCCAGCTTCTGCCTCAAGAATAACATCTTCAAATCCTAAATCAACAATAAATGGCACTTTCATGGCCTCCCTCTGTGAAACATTCCATTGACTACAACCCTCAGTCCAAACCTGTTCACATGCCTCAATTATTAGATACTTAACTTACAATATACTAATATAAACATAACAATGTCATGAATAGAAGTAATGTATTATTACAATTCTTAAAATTTAAGGTTATAGTACAGATAAAGTACAACTGGATGTTAGGAGTTTGTTGCAGCTACTCTCAATACTATTTTGGGTTTACACACCAACAAAGTAATCAAAACCATTAAACTTTATGTATAGTTGGGAGCTTTAAATTTTAGCAGCCACTTAAAATAACAGATATTGAGGAATGGCGTGGTAAACTTTGTGCCAACTTCGAATTGCCATAGATTTTTTTTAAGTATGGTGGTACTCTGTAAATTAAAATTATATCTTGTTTTCCTACAGTTTGTGATACTCCTACAGTTTGTGATACTCCTACTTAAAATCAGCTACACCTTTGTTTAAGAGCTTTATAAATACCTGATTAATCTCATCCTCCATCATGAGTTCCGATTCTTGAATGGCTTTTGGTACTCCTCCCCCTTTGTCTTCTACGTTGCCTTGGCTTAATAGCTTATCAGTCTCCCTTTTCAGTACAGGAATCGCTGGTTTGGGACTTAGGGTTTACAAATGCTAAAATATCTGACTAGGCTGCTGATTGGCTGCTGATTGGCTGCTGATTTGGACTAACTTAATACACATCACCTTAACCGTGTATAAGGTTAGTGAGTTTTAACGGTGAAATGAGGTTATGTACTCGATCAACACTGAATTACCAAATACAAGTACTTTGTAGTATCTAATAATAAATAATGTACTCTTTACTCCCTTTTACACAACTTCATGTACTTAATCAACACTTTTCTCAATTAATTTAGATGACCGCCTAGGATTCTAGGCTCATACAAGTATACAACCGCGTGACATAATTTAATTAATTGTTTAATTTTCCTTTGATCCATTTTTGCGTTTATATAAAAAAAAAACGGATTGCAGCAGCTAGCTACTTTATTGCATGTCAAAGTAGTGAAAGTACTACTAACTAGCCTTTGATCTTGACATCTGTTTTGGAACATATATAGGCTGCAAGCCTGCAGCTGCACTATGCCCATACCGCTACTCTAAATCCTATGCTCCGTATAGGATTTGCACATACATAGGGCAAAAATGGGCACTTTTTTTCCGTATTAAGCAAAATGGGCAAAAATATAGGGCATTTTCACATAGTCAATAAAGAATGGCTAAATGAATCAAAAAGACATTTATATTCGTCTATATACCCATTTTTATAATTACCATGTCCCTCAACTATTTTATTTTTGTTTGTGAATTCAGTTCACGTCTGTGCAAAATTTGCACAGATAAAATGAAACATTTTTGCTTGTGAACGGGGGCTTCACAGACGAAAAAATCTTTCACGGAGGTAGATATAAGGATGAATATAAAGGTGGGTATAACAAGGTTGTAAATTGATTTTTATACCACTTTCAATTTTCAATGTTGAGACAACCTATTTTCGTATCATTTAAAGGTTTAATTTATAATCACCCTAAAAACAAAAAAGGTTGACATTCCCTCTCTAAACTCTAAAGGCCTTAACACCGTAGGACCGTTAAATGGAAGGATATACCACCCCGTCTCGCTAATTTGACTTATACACATATTAAGGAAATAAACTTATCATGGGGTAAATTTTACTATTTTGACATTGTTTGCCACTATTTGACACTGTTTTGCACTGTTTTGACAAAAGTGGACTTGCCTTTTAAGGAAGAGAGAATCCCCTAAATAAGAGTAAAAACGTTTTGAAATTCCAAAATAGGAGTATCATGTTTTTTATTTCCTGAATAGGAGTAAATTTCTGCCAAGTTTGGCATCACAAGGCTTTTAAACATGACAATTTTTTCCAAACTTGGAAGATTACTCCTATTCAGGGAATAAAAAACATGTTACTCCTATTTTGGAATTTCAAAACGTTTTTACTCCTATTTAGGACATTTTCTGTTTAAGGAAAGGGGAACTTCTTTTTGGGATTGCTAAAAGGGGAAGTAGAAACTTCTTAGCGGGAAGGAGGGAGTATATATATTAAGAGCCCGTTTGGCAACCCTGTTTTTTTTGGCTTATCAGGCTTATCAGTCAACTTTTTCACCAAACACGTAAGTTTGATTTCGCGCGTTGGACTGTGTAATAAGCAGAAAAAGTAAGGTTGAAATTACTTTTCTAGCTGTATTGGCTGAAGTTACTGTAGATGACCATTTTAGCCAGAACTTCGTAAATTACTTTAAAATTACTCCGTATATTTTAAAAATATTTTTTTCTTATATCAGTAAAATCAGCCAACGCAGCCACTACAGCCAGAACTTCATAAATTTCAGCAGAATCAGCCAAAACAGCTGATTTTCGTGCTACCAAACGGCTCTAAACCATAATCATAGAGTGACGTATAGCAATTGAGGCTCTGGCCGATGTGATTATTAAATTCAACCATTTGCATTCATCATTAATTTCCATGACAAATGCTGGAGGTATCCCATTTTGTACCTCACCCTTTATTTGTGGTTCACAAAAATTTAACCCAATTAATTTAATTGCTCCATTTTAATAAAGTGTTTTTGTGAACCACAAACATAGGAGGGGTATAAAATGGGATAGGTTTGACATTTGTCAATTTCCATTAGCATAAAAATTTGGATGTGTTACCCTGGATGAGTAAACAGTTGAGATTGGGTTGTCCTGGCATAACACTTCATGAATCATTAGTTATTCGATCATAAAATTTCAATTAGTACAAATAGTCCTCTCTGTGGCAAACTGGCATAGTGGCATGTATCTTAACATATCAATCAATTTAATTGAGTTGATGTTTAAATATTTAATTTTTTCTCTAAACTTATGAGTGTGTTTCGTTAAATAAATATAACAGTTATTTAACTAATTAACCATAAGGTCCATAAGTTACATTTTAAACGATTACAACCCACAATTATCTTGCCAATTTATGTTGATGTTAAAAAGTGCATATAAAATTCAGAATTTAATACTCCCTCCGTCCCGTTGGAATGTTCCCGGTTTGACCTACACACATATTAAGGAAATAAACTTACCAGGGGGTAAATTTTACTGTTTGGACACTGTTTGGACACTGTTTGACACTGTTTTGCACTGTTTTGCACTGTTTGACACTGTTTTGATGTATGATAACTTTCCATTTAGGGAAATGAGAACTTTCCATTGGGACATCCAAAAAAGGAAAGTGGGAACATTCCAACGGGACGGAGGTAGTATATCAAACGTGTCTAATCAAGTCATGCAGTCCCACGTCTAATTGGCAAGCTAAGCAAATGTATAACATAATAATATAATACTCCGTATGTACCGGTGGGCGTAGCTCAAATGGTAGCGAGGGAGTGCCACAAGGGTTAGGTCTCGGGTTCGAATCCCGGCAACTGCGATGAGGGGTTACTATGCTGAAAAATGCATAGGGCTTCTGCAAGTACCGGGGACAGAGCCCCACTCTCTGTCTGTCAGATTGTGATTATAGTCCAATTTACATCCTCTCATCGTGCCATCCGGTCGGTGTTGGGGGGCTCTCAGGGATCGGGTGTCATCCTTTATAATACTCTGTATGTTGCAAAACGAGCAAGGAGTTAGATGAATTTGGTAGCATGGTCTAGTTGATAACAGTGTCACAAGCAGGTGCCAATTGTACCACATTATATAAAAAGGCGTCAAAGTTATTGATCTATATATATTCAAACATAGATATACACTTAGGCTAAATTTGACATGTGTATATTTTTTGGTAAAAATGACATGTGTATTTTGATCACATACATTACTCTCTGTTGACACTCTCTAAGGATATTCAATTTTATTCACATAGCATGCGTGTTTTGTCCGTGACTTGATTTGACGGATATGAATTGTATATGCCATGAAGGGTGTAAAACACGTATATCTTGAGTATGTAATTAGGTTGCATTATTGTTAAAATGTATTGTGATTTTTGTTAGATACCAGTTCATACCATTATTTTACATTTTTATTTGACACATTTTCCATTTTTTCTTCTATACCAAACTTATGCACACTTTCTTAACTTTAAATTCACTAATCTTTGAATTTTGTACTTTATTCAATCATTTGGCCTTTGTATTTGATGGATTCCCACTGTTTTTGTCCCTCTTAGAATGTTTTAATCGTAAAATTAAAATATCTCCTTTATTTTTTAAAAACTTCTGTGAAACTCCAATATACTCTTCCTTCATTTCGCAGTCAAAGTCACACTTTCCTTTTTTGAATGTTTCAAAAACAAGGTCACCCTTCCCTTATTTCCTTATTTGGCAAATAAATCTACATCAAAACAGTGTCAAACAGTGTCAAGCATTGTCGAACATTGTCTAAACAGTATACTCTAAAGTAAAGTCAATTTATTTTCTTAATATGGAGTAACTGTGAAGTCAAACCGTGACTTTCATTACGAAACAGAAGAAGGTAATGGAGGATAATACCAAATTACAGAATAGGATCTTTGACCAGAACGATCTAAACTTTAAATCATATTTAGGCAAAGGAAAAGGGCATGTAAATGGGAGGCTGTAGGGCCAAAGTAAGGATAAATGTCCCAATCTGTTTCCCACAAGCAAAATGAATGACTGGGGGGTGGGCATGGAGTGAGAAAGAATGAAGGAAAGCAATAACTTTTGATGGGGTAAGCATATAGCCAATATAGCCATATAGTAATCAAAACTACCCCTTTTATAACGCCATGCACTTTTTGGGGGGCCGGTCCCTTGTGGGGATTTACTCATCATTAATTCAATCAAAAAGGGGTCATCAGCTCATCTTACATTCCCACCTTCCTCCATCTTACCGAGTATAATACGGAGTACTTTTTATTATGAGGTGTTTAAAATTGATTCTGCTTCGGCTTCGACTTATTTTTAAAAGATCAATTTTAGAACCTGGTCTACCCTGAATTTCTAAAAACTTATTTTGGGAGCATTTTGGAACAATCAAAAGTACTTCTGCACTTTCACCTCACCCCCAGATATCTGTTTCTGCTGCTTGAAGGAGTAAAAGGAGTTTTAAGAAGTAGATCCAAACATTCTTATATACCGAGTATACACTTCTCATATTGCAACAAAATCATTTTCAATGGAAAATCTGTCCCCATTTCCCATCTTTCATGCACTTTTGCATGCTACTATGTACGGAGTATGTATTATTGGGATTTTTTGTTACTATCCTAATGATTGATTGAGTTGCGGCCTGGAAGCTAAGGCTTTCTTTCATTTCATAGCTAGAAAAGTTATACGGAGTATATATAATGAACTCCCTTATCAATAATGGTCGTAATAGTAACTGGTTAGGTTTCTCACTATCCCAACATATGGAGGGTCTTGGTCCTAATAATAATGCCACCCCTATTTCTTCATCTTCATTCCCTACCCTAAGTTTTGCAAACACAACTCCCTCTCATTTAAGTTATCCCCCTGGCCCTTATTATGTAGGGGATGGTCATGAAACAGCAGCAGCAGCCTTCTTCTCTTCATTGTCTGTGATGCCTCTTATGTCTGATGGCTCCCTCTGCATAATGGAGGCTTTCCATAGGTCACACCCACAAGCAGGTTTGAGCACTGCTACTACTACTACTCCCTGACCTTTTTTGAAATGAAATTTTTTGAAAAAATTGAATCTTTTGTGTTTTTTGTATATAATCTTTTTTTATCTTTGGAAGGTATGGTAGGAGCAGCACCAAAACTGGAGGACTTCTTAGGGGAAACTGGAGGAATGGGGACCCATCACTATGACAGAAGTGGAGGAGGTATGGCTCTTAGCTTGGATAGCATGTACTACCATGAAAGCAGAACAGACAATGGTCAGACCACTCATCACAACAATCAAGGTTTCCTCACTCATCATCATCTCCAAGAAAAGTCAAGGAATCATCCTCATATGGAAGCTCAACTGTTCCAAGATTTCCAAATGTCATCAACTCCCACTGGGATGAAGAACTGGGATTCAGCTCATATGGGTGGTTGCATGGGTAGTGGGGAGGCTGGAGCTATCACTGCTGCAATGGGTTATGGGGATTATCAGTCCTTGAGCTTGTCAATGAGCCCTGGCTCAAGGTCAAGCTGTGTGAATCCTAGTCAGCATCAGCAGAGTCAAACAATAGAGTGTATGGGGATGGAGAGCAAAAAGAGAGGGCTTGAGATGGTTGACCAGAAGCAAATTGTTCATAGGAAGTCACTTGACACCTTTGGCCAAAGAACCTCACAATACAGAGGTGTCACCAGGTTGGGATATTCACTCTTTCTTTTTTCATTTGTTTTCTTAACTTTCTAAAGCCATCTCCAACCTCAACACTTTTTACACAACAATTGATGTAATTATCATCATATACTGTTACTCCAATTCTTTAAATCATCAAATGGGAAAAAATTACTCCTTCAAAATTAAACTCACAGTCTGCCTGTTATGATATTTAAGGCTGATATTTGACCATTATTATTTAAAATTATGCAATTTAAAAGTAAAATTCTGATAGTATATAGTAAAACAAATTCAAAAATATTTTGATATTTGAAATTAATTTTAATTTTAAATAAATTAACGTTCAAAGTGAAAACTTAATTGTAGAGCAAAGGTAGTATTTTTTTTACCTCTTTGTATAGCAAAATGAGGGATATCTAGAGTATACCCTTGGTTCAAGAATTTAGAGTTTGTTAAACATTACTTAGAGTAATGTAGGGACATGATTAACAGTTTGATAATATTCCAATGTTGCCTAACAGGCACAGATGGACAGGTAGATATGAAGCTCATTTATGGGACAATAGTAGCAAGAAAGAAGGACAGAGCAGAAAGGGAAGACAGGGTGGGTTACAGTAAATCTATGATCATGAATTTATGATGAACTTATCATATTACCCTTAATGTTCCTAATGTTACGAAAACTAAAAACAGCATTATTATGAATTCAAAATAACAAAAAAGGTAAAACATGGTACATTTAAGCATTTGGGATGATTACTTTTAATAAAGGTATGATTACTTTTCGATTCATTATTCAACTTATACCAAATTTGGCATTGTAAAACGAAAAAAAAAACTACCTTGATAGAGAAAGACCCATTTTTTTCATTTAATCATGTCACTAACACATTACTTGGTTTCCCTTTTATGTTCCTTGATAATAACTGCTGGGGATGCAATCGCTTACCAAACAATGATTCCAGTGTATTTGGGTAAATAAGCATTCTTAATTCTCAATAATTTGTCAAGTTACTCTTTTTTAATTTGTGCAATAACTGAATGATTAGTAACTAATGTGCTATAAGTGTGTGCTTTTAGGGGGTTATGACAATGAAGAGAAAGCGGCTAGGGCATATGATTTAGCAGCACTTAAGTACTGGGGACCCTCAACACATATAAATTTTCCGGTATGATTGTTGGATGACTACTCGAGTGTTATAATTATATTGATGAAAGTTTTGTATGTGATTTGTACACATTTCACACACATTTGTACATAATTATCTGTGCATACAGACAATGTTGTACGAACTACTAATGCTTGTGTACACAGGCAACTAGGGTGTACGTATTCTCTGTGTGCACAAACTATTACGTTCAAATGTGTGCGAAATTTGTACAAATTGCATGAATTTTTTATTTTCCGATCGTAGAAGGTCATCATTTACTTGTTACTTTTTTTTTTTTGCATATTATAGTCTGAGAATTATCATCAAGAGATTGAAGGAATGAAGAGCATGACTAGGCAAGAATATGTTGCTCACTTACGAAGGTAGCTTAGCATCACATATATCTTCTTCACCTTACTTTATAGTTACAAAACCTTTCTATTTGCCTTTCTCAAATTCATATAATTTTTTTATTTAATTATGTCTCTCATTGGTGTATAATTGTTTCAGAAAGAGCAGTGGTTTCTCAAGAGGAGCTTCAATCTATAGGGGAGTGACAAGGTCTTGATATTAATTGCATTATTAATTTCAGTTAGATACAAATCCAATGATATACGGAGTAATTATATAGTAGTTTGTAACAAATAAAAACAAAAAGGAGTGACATATTGCATATTTAATAAAAATATAATATTGAGTTTCCAAAATTTTCTTTTCCTTTAGCAGGCATCATCAACATGGAAGATGGCAGGCTAGAATAGGACGAGTGGCCGGAAACAAGGACCTTTATTTAGGAACATTCAGTGAGTTCACACAGAACACCCTCATTAATCCTTTTTCCTTTTCAGTTTGTTCTTGGGTCATATCATGGGGCACATAGAGGTTTTGAAGCTTCATAATAGGATAAATGATAGCTTAAATAGATTAAAAGAATTGCACAAATTCAGTTCTAATATCTATACATTTAAGGGGCAGTTTCCTAATTAGGAGTAAATGAAAGCTAAATATAATGCTAAAATAGGGTATATGTTTTATATACTCCGTATATAATAATAAAGCATAAAAATCAAAATCAAAAAAAAAAAAAACATAAACAATAACAAAAAGATGCAGGGATCAGCCACTTCATCTTCGCGAACTGCCACCTTCAGTAGATGCGAAAAAAATGTCAAATTGCAAAACTAATGTCATCTTAATGCATGTGTGGTTTGATCGATCTATTTAATTCTATTTGGTCTGATATGGTATGACTTGGTTTGAGGTCTTGGTTGGTAAATGTGAAAACTATGTGAATTTATAGTTGTCGTCTGTCGATATCCGATATGATCTGGTTTTATTTGATCTGAAATTAAAATTAGTCTAATTAAAAATATATCTATTGTTTTGTTTAAAACTAGTCACATGTTTGTCAAATAATCTTTGAATTTGAACAAGCATATACGTATTTACTTATTTGGCTATATAAATTAAGAACTCGTTTAGTAACATTAATATTAGATGAGTTGGTTGAATCTGTTAAGATCCAGACGAATGACGACACGATCCAGACGAAGTGTCTGGTCGTGAGGAGGGGTGTTAAATGTCCCACACCGGAAAATTGAGAAGCACTAGAGTGCTATATTAAGCTTCGGGGTTCCATCCTAAAAGGTCAACCTGTTAGGAGGAGTAGCCCGAAGCTTAATATAGCACTCTAGTGCTTCTCAATTTTCCGGTGTGGGACATTTAACACCCCTCCTCACGACCAGACACTTCGTCTGGATCGTGTCGTCATTCATTTTTCATCGGTTCGTCAATTTTTTTTTATCGTGTCGTCATTTTTCATAAGGGGCCCCACACCATGGATCGATTTGGCTCTGATACCATGTTAAGACCCGGGGTTCCATCCTAAAAGGTCAACCTGTTAGGAGGAGTAGCCCAAAGCCTTATATAGTGTTTAATTGTTTTATAGCTTTCCGGTGTGGGACAAATGCTTCAACAGAATCTCATAAATTGATAAAATTCTTGCTTAAACGGTTAAATAGGCTGAATAATAAAATAGATGAAAAATAGCTGAATGATCAATTATAGTAATTTCAGTCAATTCATCTAGAATGAAATAACTTAAGGTTCACTTATTCTTATTAGAATGCATTTTAGTGCGTGAAATCTAAAATTACATTCTTAATAAAAAAAGTCTGTGACAAGGTTGATAAACCGAAAATTTTAGGTTAAACTCCATCATTCAATGACGATGAACGATGTTTTTTTCGAATATGCATTAAGCATTATGTTATGGCCTCCTAAAAAATCAGGACCATTAGTCCATTATAACCAAAAGACTCTTCATACAATATGTAATAGAATTATGTGAAGGTTTTAAAATTGCACTCTACCTTGTGTTTCTTATGTAAATATCAATTCCTGTATATGAGTAGTCATACCTGACCGGAGCCCCGTCCGGCCTCCTCCATTTAGGAGCCTTCCCGGTGGTATTTTTTGCTCAAATTTTTTGTGTAGGTTCCTCATCAAGTCTAGTTCATCCATACCAAATTTCAGCCAAAAATTCAATCGGGAAGGTCGTCAAATGATTTTTACAAGTTAACTGGTCCGGAAAATACATATTCCGGACCAGTTAACTTGCAAAAATCATTTGACGACCTTTTCGATTGAATTTTTAGCTGAAATTTGGTATGGATGAACTAGACTTGATGAGGAATCCACACAAAAAATTTGAGCAAAACATATCACCGGGAAGACCTCCAAATGGAGGAGGTCGGACGGGGGGAGTGGTCCGGCCTGGCCGGACCTGAATATTAGTCATCAATTCCTTATGTCTCAAATAAAATGTACGAGTAGAATTATGATGCAAATCACCTATCAGCTTATTGTGATGGTACATACTATTGGCCAGTTAATAATTTTCAACTCAACTAGTATTGTACCCGTGCGATGCACGAGACAATAATATATTCATATTTAACATTTTTTTATTATTTAAGTGAAATTGAAATACATGTACAATATAAATTACTGATATATGTTTTACGACATGTCATTAAAAGCGTTGTAACACAAACATATATATGTGGTACAAACATGTCATTAAAAATGTGTTACAACAAAATATTAAAAGTACACATTTTGGAAAACCTCTAGATACACAACCTTGATTGTCAAAGTACTTGGCATGCAATCAATGTTGCTTATCATCCATTCTGAGTCCTTCACGTTTAGTAATTCGTGACACTATGATATACTCCGTATAGTTTACCGTGAGACAAAACATGTTTTTTTAGAATAATTCGACATAGTGAAGAGATTTTCCTATGTCGACAAAACATGTATAATTCGACTGAGTACATGACTGTTGTTGATGTAATATAATTTAAAATTGTATGTGTATTGTATAATCTTATAAGAATGAATACTTATTTTTAATTCATAAAAAAGAGTTCAACATTCGTGACAATCCATTTTTAACTCATAGTTTTTTTGCACATTCGTTTATCTCATAGTTTCTAAGAATGTGTGTAGTCCTGATTTTTATGGTTTCTAAGATTATCAAATCGATGTATTTCTATGTCTTATTATCTAATGCTATATGTTTTTTATTTTTTATTTTTATAATTATGCTTAGTTGTTTACTTGTTTAAATGTTGTTTCAGTATCTATCTCATGAAAAGAAACCAAATTTGTAATAATATAGGAAAAAAGATGCTATGCTTTGCCTGGCATCCTTAAACTCATTATTTTTCTCTAGGTGAATTGAGGTACGAATCTAGTCACCTTGCATTTAAAATAAAAATGAGTTTGATTGTTAACATTGACCCTATAGGCATAACACTTTTTTTTAATTTCCATATATACATACATGTACCTCCGCACATCTAGGATAGTAAATTCCTTTGTGTTCGCAACGTTATTATGTAAGAGGTGAATATCGTCGCTCCGCCTATCCCCAAGAGCCGCCCGGGGTGTTCAAATTGTAGATTTTTCTAGCAACAGCTTCCATTTTTGAGAGCAGAAAGATTCAATGAGTCACAAACGTAGACCTTATAACCCCATGAGTCACAAACGTAGACCTTATAACCCCATGAGTCACAAACGTAGACCTTATAACCCCATGAGTCACATCGCTTGCAGTGGATCGGATGTGCATTTGATGTTGATAAGAGGCGGTGAGCAGTTTTTTATAGTGGTAGTCCTGGCAGCAGTTAAAGTGGTAACTGCCACGATTTGCAATTGTTATTGGATTTAGGAGTTTCTTAGATTTCCAGAATTTACACGGTTAATTACACATATTTATACCACGTGAGGTGCAGGCATAATCCAACGCGGGAACAGTTATATTGACCAACGATTCCATTTTTATATATATAATAAAGATAGTAGGAATGTAGGACGGTCAACAAAATGAGGCTGTGGTCGGCCGGTTGGGGTGGAGTTCCTATACCGTGGGATCATCCCACTGTGAGCATCGTGCTCCACATCTGAAACTACGTAGTTTTGCACAATATTTTTTAAAAAAAAATTCGCGTGAACAGTAACGCGTGAACAGTAACTTTTTTTTCTTTTTGACCCAGTAGCATGAATAATGTAACTCGCGTGTAAAGATATGTAACTCACGTTATTGATTAATGTAACTCAAGTCCATTCGAAATGTAACTTGTCAAATACATATTATAAGAAATAAAACATTGATTTCAATGTAAATAATTAAAAAAAAAGTCTAATTGCACAATTACTTTACGTAAATCGTGAATATGTTTTGTTTTTAATATCATGACCATCAAAAGAATTTAAAAAAAATCATCCTATTTTTTGCTTTAATACCAGAGGTTGATTTTTCGATATAACTCATGTTATTATAAATGTAACTCACGTTGATGGCAAATGTAACTTAGGTGTATACAGAATGTAATTTGTTGGGGCAAGTCCCTATGTAACTCGCGCTTCAAAAGATGTAACTCGCTTGTAAAAAAGATGTAACTCATACACATAAAAATGTAACTCACACACAAAAAGATACAATTTCATGTACTTCGTATTATCAAATGTAATTGTGAGAAGAACAATTGTATGAGAATCCAATAGTATGTATATGGGAAGAGAAACGTCTGAATAGAGTGTGAATCCCAAACAAAATGCATTTAAATAAGGAAGATGGAGGTATATATGAATGGATCTGAGATTTTAAGCTCTGTGTATCTTCTTTGTCTGCTAACATCCGTTTCTGTAATACATATGCACTAAGTATAAGAAATTCGATTCAGTAGGGATGTCCAGCAAGGAAGCTTCGTACCACCAAAGGAAATTTTTGGCCGCAGGGATGAAGCATACGCTGGACGGTTGGAGAAGACGGTGATTTTTTGTCAGCTCTGTTTTAATTAATACGGAGTATAAAACGCCGTCGTTTTGGGATCGGCACAGTACACCCTGCTCATGGTGGGCCGATCCCACGGTATAATTTGCGGTTGGGGTGGGCTACTTATTACTTACTCCGTATTAAGGAACAGTGTCGAGTAAAAATGAAGTTACTCACAAACATTACCCGTCCCTGAGAATTTTGGCAGCTGTGCAAAATGAGAAAAATCAAAAGTGACTGCGTTTATTATTGAAGTTTGGGTAGAAGAGAAAGAAATTAACGAAACTTCAAAATGATTATTTTAATGAAAAGTGACAAATTCTTTCAAATAAACAAAAAAGAAAAGTGACAAAGTCTAATGAAGGCGGAGGAGTATAAATCACATATCATTAGACATACGGAGTACAATATTGTCACTAAAATTACCACGAAACCATCACTTCCAGCTTAGCTGGTTGTGAGGTTATCCTTGCATAAGAGAGGTCCCGTGTTCGAGTCCCACTAGTACCAGTATAACTATGCTCCCCCAAAAAATCCTTCAACTGGTAGGGCCAAGCGGTGTATACTAACACGTCGTAGGGCCAAGTCAAAGTTGGGTTTCTAGGGTATGCGGCCGTGAAAGCGGTGGAGCTAGTCACTATAAAAAGTTTACTCATATCTTAGTTTTACCGGTGGGCGTAGCTCAATTGGTAGTAAGGGAGTGCCACAAGGGTTGGGTCTTGGGTTCGAATCCTGGCAACTGCGATGAGGGGTTACTATGCTGAAAAATGCATAGGACCTCTGCAAGTACCGGGGACAGAGCCTCACTCTCTATCGGTCAGATTGTGATTATAATCCAATTTACATCCACTCATTATGCTGTCCGGTCGGTGTTGGGGGGCCCTCAGGGATGGGATGTCATCATTTTACTACAATTACCACCAATTCAAATTCAAACAACATAACTTATACTCCCTCCGTCCGGAAAACAACTTCCCGGTTGGACTTTCACACACTTTTAGGAAATAAATTTGACTTTACTGTAGAATGCACTGTTTTGCACTGTTTGGCACTGTTTAAACACTGTTTGGCACTGTTTAAATACTGTTTGGCTTTGTTGTTTATCACTTTTTTGATGTAGATAATTTGCCAAATAAGGAAAGTATTGAAGTGTGAAGTTAATTTTGGGACATCCATTTAAGGAAAGTGGGAAGTTGTTTTCGGGACGGAGGGAGTACTTAATTCGCGTATTTCTTTTTTGGGAAAGTTCCCGAAATAGGACCAAAACAATTTGATAATTCCAAAATAGGACTGACATGTTTTTTATTCCCAAAATAGAAGTAATTACTGTCAAGTTTGGAAAATACTGCCATGTTTGAAGTGTGGTACTGCCAAAATGTGATAGTAATTAGTCCGATTTTGGGAATAAAAACATGGCAGTCCTATTTTGGAATTTTCAAACCTTTTTAGTCCTATTTCGGGTAATATCTCTTCTTTTTTAAGGCTTGACGAATCAAACAATATTTTCTTTCCAATTTTTGCCTTTTTTGATCTCTCTGAATCAAACTTTTTCGTGCCAAACATAATAAATACTCTGTATTATTGTTATGCTTCTATTATGGGGGTGTTTGGATCTGATTCTTAAAACTGATTCTGCTCCTTCAGGGAGCAGAAACAGAAGTTGGAGTGTTTGGGTGAAATTCCAGAAGCACTTCTGGAACTCTAATTTACTCTCAGAATCAATTTTTTTTAGAAGTTGGGGGGTACCAGCTTCTGAAAACTGATTCTGATTCTGCTTCTGCTTTTAAAAAAGAAGCAGAAGCAGAATCAGTTCCAAACAACCCTATATTGGGTTTATTATATTTAGGGAACCATGTTGGTGTTTTGAACTTTTGACTCGTCCGAGCTAGTGTTACTAGTTGTTTTGGGAATCGTAAGTGAGTTTAAATTCGGATTTTTTATAAGAAAATAATTTTTTTACACAAATATGACTAATAATTACTACAATGCTGTGTCATGGTAATTTAAGTTTAAAAATTGAACATAAATTACTATGATTTCATTACTATTTTGGTCATAATTACATTTATGTAAACAGTCTTTATTTCAATTCTCTCATATTGATTCCCAATTTTTAATCGTAATATTGTATATTAACATTTTTCGGACAAGAAAATAATCTAAGTAAAAATATAGTACATTTTGTCTAGAAATTTGCCCTTTCAGTTAAACAAGTGGATTGAAATGCAGGCACTCAAGAGGAAGCTGCTGAGGCTTATGACATAGCAGCGATTAAGTTTAGAGGCATAAATGCGGTCACAAATTTTGACAGTTCAAGGTACGACGTCGATCGTATAATGTCTAGCCACAATCTTATCGCCGGAGACCAGGCCAGGAAGATCAAAGACTCCGGCGCCGGTCAGACCGACGAGATCACGAATGTGAACGATGGCGGCGGAGATCAAGCGGGCGTTCTGGATCAGGAGGAAAACGGCCCAATAAATTCCACCCCACCCACAGATTGGAGAATTGCGCTGTATCAGCAGCAGGAGGAGGAGGCGGCGGTGATGGAAGAGTCCGCCGCCGCTGCGGCGGCGAGATTGTTGAGCGCTCACTTGTCAAACGCTTCTTCGCTCGTGACCAGCGCCGGCAGTTCCCGGGAAGGGAGTCCCAATAAGTTAAACGACCCACTTGGATTGATCGGACGAACTAAGCGGGATAATAACTCGCCGGCCGCCCAGAAGATGGGCGGCGCTGCGGCGGTGAGTAGTAGCAATGCGAGTTCTTGGATCTCGTCGGCCCATCTGAGGCCTCATGGGCCTGTTTTTGCTGCTTGGACTGACAACATCGTCTGAAATAAATTAGAATGAACCCTGCGACTAACATCTTCCATTAATCTGTTTCAATTCATGACAAGATCAGAACAAGCCGGTAATTAAGGTTTTCCTTATCTGCTTAATTGGGAATTGTATTTGACTAATCATCAATGGTGTAGTCTTTCAATTAGTCGATCTTCTAATTAGCTTCCAGTTTATTCCGTCTAGTACGGGTGTTGGTTATGGAGGCATTATAGCTCGTGAGTCTCTAAATGGAAAACCCAATCAAAATAAACCCGACCATACTACATTTAACTGCCAAAAACCAAAACCGAAGGAATGTAAAAAGAAATAATGACAGATATGGTACGTGTGAGTTTTAGTTGGACAATTATGGGACCTATTCTCAAATAGACAAGAAACAGATCAATTAAAAATGAATGGTCTCAAATAACCCGGCCTTTTTCTTCGTCCGCTATGTCTGCTTCGCATAACACACACCAGACTGCCAGAGGCTTCAACTCTATCTACTCCCAATCGGACAACTAAGGACGCCGCCGCTTCATCTCGTCGCCTTTGCCGGTGCATTCCGCCGCACACAAGTCGCCACTTCCGCCACACAGAAGTCTCCACCGCCACTACTCTGTTGCGCATTCCTTCTTCGTCGTTGTACTCATCATATGTCGCCGCAGTTGTTCATCTACTCCGATATGGTGGATGTCGTCTCTTTTCCGCACTGCTGGCGTCGCTATAACTTCTATCTTCTACTCCTTTCTTCTCACCCATGACCGCTACCAGTTTCATGGATCTGGCTATAAAGATTTTTTTTTTTTGAGAGTTGGCTATAAAGAATTTTGTAACAGATCTGATATCGAGTTATGGAGATCCAACGAAATCAGGGGTCCGTTTATTTTTTTCTGCAGGGGGTTGGAGCAAGCGGCGGGGTGGGGGTTGTGGGAGAGATTGGGCAGTGGCTTGGGTGGGGTTGGGGCAGGGATAGATAGACGGAAGGGAAGGGGCTGAGTTGGGAGAGGCTACGAAGGCTGGTCATTGGTGGTTGTTGCCGGTGGCGGCGATAGCGGTGACGGCGATAGTGGTGGCCGGAGGTGGTGGTAGCGGTGGTCGACTAGGACCGCCGCCACTTCAATCAAGTAATTGTAACTGATCGGGTATTGTCAATGCTCGGGTTGAGCAACTTTAATTGGTCGGATTTGGTAACTTTAATTGGTCGGATCGAGTAACTGTAATTGATTAGATCGAGTAACTGTAATTGCTCGGGTAAGATAATTGTAATTGTTCGGGTCATGTAATTGTAATTGGTCAGATCGAGATAACTGTAATTGCTCGGATCGGGTAATTGTAATTGTTCGGGTCGTGTAACTGTAATTGATCTGGTCATGTAAATGTAAGGGGGTGTATTGTATTAGGAATTAGTGTCAAAATTTTAAAAGTCAATGGATTTTAAAAGTTTAGGTGTATTCAATGTGGAATTTTAAAAGTCCACAAAAGTCTAGGTGTATTCAATGCGGACTTTTAAAAGTCTAGTCGTGTTCAAATTTCCGTTCATTCTTATTGACTTCTAAAATCATGGATTCTCGTGGACTTTTAACTCATTTTTAGTGCAAAAAATCTCTGCAATTGTCTCTTCTCCTCACCAAAGATTTCCGTGGACTTTTCTTATATCTGTTCTTCATCCCGTCCGACCCCATTCCTCCCCTCCCTCCTAGGGATGGACCAGGCCCGACCCGATTTCGGTTCCGAGTCAGGCCCGGTCAGGTTTTTTGGATTTTTTGTCACTAATGATTTTTTGTCACTGACGAATTTTGGTCACTGGTGAATTTTGGATTTTTGGTCACTAATGATTTTTGGTCATTGGACGTTGGTAACTGGACGGACGAACGTTGGTCACTGGTCGAGGTTGATTACTTGACGACATTTTTGGTCACTATTAATTTTGGTCACTGACAGTTTTTGAATTTTTGGTCACTAATAATTTTTTGTCACTGGAAGATTTTGGTCACTGACAGATTTTTGGATTTTTTGTCACAAATGATTTTTGGTCACTGGGTGGATTGGTCATGGTCACTAGTCAGATTGGTCACTGGACGGGTTGACGTTGGTAACTAGGTAAAATTTTTGGTCACTAATGATTTTGGTCACTGACGGATTTTTGGATTTTTGGTCACAAATGATTTTTGGTCACTAGATGGATTGGTCATGGTCACTAGTCAGATTGGTCACTCGACGGGTTGACGTTGGTAACTAGGTAAAAATTTTGGTCACTAATGATTTTGGTCACTGACGGATTTTTGGAATTTTGGTCACAAATGATTTTTGGTCACTGGGTGGATTGGTCATGGTCACTAGTCGGATTGGTCACTGGACGGGTTGACGTTGGTAACTAGGTAGAATTTTTTGTCACTAATGATTTTGGTCACTGACGGATTTTTGGATTTTTGGTCACAAATGATTTTTGGTCAGTGACGAATTTTGGGCACGATAATGGTTTTGGTCACTGTAGCGTTATTGTAGACTAATGAGTGAGATTCTATTAAAATAAGGGTATAATAGTCTCTTAACCCATTGTTAGTCTCATTTTTGGAAAATTGAAATAAAGGTCTCTTTTTTGTTCATAGCTCTTTTTTTAGTATTATTTTAGACATAACCCCATGTAAAAAACCGTAATTATTTGGTTTTGTTTCAGTTTTGACTGTTAAAAACTGAACTGATTAAACCGAACTAATTAAAATTTGAATTTTTATTCATTAATCGTTAAGCATCAAACCTAATATCATTCATAGAAAATTAATACGTAGTATTTCGTATTACATATTATCGTATTCCTTAATAAATACTCCATAAATGTTAAGTAATTCTATTTATGGTTTAGTTTATAAATGTATTTATGGTTTCATTCCCTATAATCATATACGGAGTATATAATTATATTGATCCATTGTGTCATTATTTGATCCATTGTGTCATTATTTGTGTATGTATTTTGTCCATTTGTTGAATGTCAGTGATATATTTTTGGTGTTAATTATTAGTAATTTTTGTTTTGATGTAATCTAAAGTTTTTATACTGAATAAATAAATAAATATTCATCCCAACAACACCTCATGAAACACATAATCATCAACTTTTTTCAATTTAGTCACAAAAAATGTAAAACAAGAATATATAAACTTTTGTTCTAAATTAAAACGGAAAAATTGATAAGAATAATCTCACATTTCATTGGTCTTCCCATAATAATCTCACTTTTACATAATCCCAGAATAATCTCACCTTTGCACTTCATCTTCTTTCATTGAACCGTTTCTTTGAAAATCTTATATAAATAATCCCACCTTTGTAGGTCATCAATAGGTTAGGGTCTAATCATGGGCGGATCCATGTAGGGGCAGAGGTGCCCAGCCCAAGCCAACTTATTTTTATTAGTATAGAAAGGGACTTAATTTTTAGCCCATCCCAAAATTGATGTTCAGCCCAGCCCAAACTTAATATAAGCTCCAAAATTGATGTTCAGCCCAGCCCAAACTTAATATAAGCTCTAAAAGCGCCACCGAGGTGCGTAACCATGGGAACAAATGATCCAGTTGCGTAATAGCGGAGCTATGGTCTTGTAGCAACTCAACTCAACGAATATAGGGCAATTAGGAGGGTTAACCATCCTTGGAGTCGGTGTGGGAAAAATTTGAGAAGATCAAAACTTTCATACGGAGGAGTATAAGGAGGATTACATTGGGAGCCTATTATGCAATTCCATCTCACCCACTCACCCACAATCAATTGTATTTTATATTACTAGTTTACAACATTATTTTACAACATGATTTTATGATTAATATTATATTATTATATTATTAATATCACATTAACACTGCTATTATTATTACTTCTATTATTATCATGAGTTTTGTTCCAATATATTACTAACATTAAATATGAATATTTTTTACTCAAGCCATTGAGTAACTTTTATAAGCATTCTAATTGTAAAATTTAAACATAATTATAATCATTAAAATAACTACGTCGTTTTTATCCAGTATCCTTATTTGGTCATATACTATTACTGTTGTTGTTGTTGTTGTTACTATTTATTTTTATTTCCAGTTCATTTTTTAGTTCTAATTTTTGCAACAAGCATAGTTAGAACTACTATCTGTGATTTTTAGTGCTCTAGAGATATACTTTTGTTATAAAGCGACTAAGAAGCACGAAGTCGGAAGGACTCAACTCAGTAAAGAGATGAAGACAGGAAATCATGAACACGGGGCCCAGTCGCAACGTCACCTGCCGTTGTGTTCCCTACGTCCGTTGTCTACATTTTTAAATACTTTGTTGAATCCCTTGTTTATTCGTTTATGCTCGAACTAAACTTGAATAAAATAGATGTATTAATTTTCTTGTTTTAGTGTTTAAATAGATCTATAAAATTGCACTAAAAATATTTAAATTTTAAGATTAATAAAAATTATCTCTATAATTTATGAGTTATCGACAGGCTCGAGTCTGAATCAAACTGAATATCACTATGCTCGAACTCAATATCTAGCCCGTGTTCGAGTTCAAAATATCTCGTTAAGCTTGGGTCATTGAATTAAATTCTAAATCACGCTCGAAGTCGAGTAGTTTGAAAAACGCTCGATTTCATAACCGCCCAAATAAGCTGAACTTTTTACTTGCAATAACATTTTTTTCTGCTTAGCCCATCCCACTCTTCATTCCTGGATCCGCCCCTGGGTCTAATGAAAGAAGATGAGGTGCAAAGGTGAGATTATTCTTGAATTACGTAAAATTTGGATTATTATGAGAAGACCGGTGAAAGGTGTGATTATTCTTATGGAAAAATTCCCAAGATATGACTAAAACATACTCCCTCCGTCCCTCTATGATTGTCCCATTTTACCATTTCGGTCCGTCCCACTAAGATTGTCCCATACCTTATTTGGTAAAGTTTGTGTGGTTCTAAATCATTCCTACTTTATTCTTACTTTATCAATTCAATATCAACCACATAAACCCACTTTTATTAATAACCGTGTCACCTTCTCTTGTCCCAAACTTAGGGGGACGGGGGTAGTATTGACTACTCAAAATATGAGTAGCTATGTTTTTTTCCCGGAATATGACTAAAAATCGAAAAAAATGTCATATTATAACGTGGAAGGACGAAAATGCCCTTATTTAAAGAAGATGCATTTTGCACTAATTTCAGCCGTGTAAATATATTGCACTTTATGAACGCGTTATAGCACAACGTTTATAGCACTTTATGACGGCATTCACTGCACAACATATAATGCACTTCATGTACATAGGTTATGGTACTTCAGTTTGTCCTTTTTTTTTTTTAGTTTTGATAATTTTAGTTTTTACGTTTAATTAAATCCAATGCACGTACTTCATGCGAGAGTTATGACAAAATATTACAAAGATGTAAGCATTTTGTAATTTTTTTAGATTTGATAATTGCAATTTATATCAATGTTAATGCTCTACATTATTGTAATTTTTGTCAAAATCACTTTATATATGGTCATATCATTGCACTTCTTTGTCATAATCATTGCACTTCGTGTGATATTCACGGCATTACATAAAAAATAGTCATTGCACACTGTCCTCAATCGTCTTCAACCTAGGGTTCTTCTTCTATCTTGGGTTCGTCTTCAACCTCGACCGTCTTGCTGAAGAATCTGAGTTGTTGGAGTGGCGGTCCGGCCATCACCATTCTTTGGCAACATTAATTATTACCCTAATTTCATTAAATAGAAGAAGAACCCAACAAACCGTAATCTCAAGCGGCAAGAGATCAAGCACGCTGGTTGACGGAGGCACGAGGCAACTGTGCGGCGGGACGGCAGCGGCCAGGGCAAGGTCGGAGTGGCAGCGAGTGAGGGCTGGACATACGAAGGAGGAGAACACGCGATTGTGTAGTTAGACGGAGGTGATGAGTAGGCGGACGTACGGCAAGGCATCGGCTGGGCGGTGGCGGGGCGACAGAGGTAGGTGGCAGATATGTGGAGGCTGGGCGGCGGCGGGCGGGGGGGCGGGGGGGGGGGGGGGGGGGCAGCGGCAGGCGGGTGTGCGTGAGCAGTGGGAAGTTAGAGGCTAAGGTTGGAGAAAAAGAGCACAAGGTTAGGTTTTATAGACTTAACCTAATTAAGGGGTATATTAGTCCATAAAAATTAATTATTTAATTATTAATTACGAAATTAATTAAATATAATTGATTTAAATATTGTTTTGGGAAAAAAACTAGTTATGTTATAGATTGGGAAAGTGGGGAAGTTTTACTCATACAAGGGATAATTATTTCTATTCTTATCAATTTTTCCAATTAAAACTGGAAAAATACGTTTTCTCTCACATATTCTCATATAATTCAAGATATATTTGTGCCTTCTCTTTTTATTTAATTTGTTCTAGTGTTCTTGTATTTAAATGTAATATGTTTGGGAACCTATTGTGTCATTAATTTTAAGTCATATGACATTTTGTAGCAAAAAAACGAAAAAGTGAAACTAAACCGAAACAAACCAAACCAATCAAACCATGGTTTCAAGTATTAAAATGCAAAACCGA